AAATAATTTATTTTTCGTTGTCAAAATGGCGGCTGACTTTTTTATAAAAAAAAAAAAAATTTGTATCGCGTGTTTTCCTTCCGTGACGTAATTTTATCTTTTTTTTAGGCGCGTTTTTTTTTTTTGTTTAAATTAATTAAAAATTTACTTATTAACAAAAAAAAAAGGACAATAAGACACGACAATAAGAAATGAAAAGAATTCATTTTAAATAATACTAGGGAATTGAATACAAAAATTATTATTATTATTATTATTGTTGTTGTTGTTGTTATTGTTATTATTTGTAACTTTATTCGTTTTTTTGAAGTATGATAGAAATACTAACTTGATTTGAAATAAAGAAACTAACAAATTTTCACTCTCTCTCTCTTTCTCTCACTCTTTCTTTCTCTCTCTCTCTCTTTCTCTCTATCTCTCTCTTTCTCTCTCTCTCTAAATTTTCACGGGTTGACGACAAACGAGACAATGAGAAAAGTTTTTTTGTTTTTTTTTTTTTTTTTATTAAAAAGTTATTTTGATGAACTTTGTTTTTAAACGAAAATAATAAAGAAAAATTTTTAACTTTTTAGTAAAAAAAACGTTTTCAAAAATTAAATTATATATTTAAATTTCGGGATTAGATTAATAATAATAATAATAATAAAGATCGCCATTTTATATTATTATTATTATTATTATTATTATTATAAAAAAATACGCGAAATTAATCGAGTCGTGATACTTAATTTACTAGCTTTTACTTTACCAGACGACTGATTAAAATCGTTAAAAATTATTTAATTATAATGATGATGATGATAATAATATTAATAATAATAATTATTAAAATGGCGGCGATAAAAAAAAGAAAGGAAATTAAAAAAAAAAAAAAGAATTTCCCTTTTCGAAACTTTTACTCGATCGTCGTCTTGTTGCTTTAATAACAATTAAATTATTATTATTATTATTATGGTTGTAATTCGAATTTTTTGTCTGCTTGAAAAGGGAGATGGGGGAGGAGGAAAGGGAGGGAGAGAGGAGGGGGAAAGACGTAGGGAAATTTTAATTTTTTTTTACATAATACGAACCTTAGCTGCGTTCGACGAATAGGGTTCGTCGAATAGTGACCATATTTTAGGTTTGAGTTTCTGCCACCACGACAATCTACCGTGATAGTAATCATCTTCGAATCCGAATTTTTTCGCAACTTCTTCTTCGCTCGGTTTTTCCGTATCCAAATCTAAACGATCTAAAACGGCCAAAGTTTCTTTCGTGTTTCGATGCTGGAAAAAACAGAAAAAAATTTTATTTTGGTTAATTCGTTCATCAAAAAAAAAAAAAAAAAAAAATGAAAATCGAAAAATTTTAATTTCCTTCATCATTTAATAACCAAAGCTAATTTTTCACTCTCTCTCTCTCTCTCTCTCTCTCTCTCTCTCTTTCTCATTTTCTCATTCCGATGATTAAACCCTTTTTAACCTTTTAAGGTTTCCCCATATAGAATAAATCAAAAATAGACACATTTTACAAAATCTTTTAAATTTTAATTATTATTATTATTATTATTATTATATAAATCATGGCGTTTCTTACCTGTTGATTAATGAACGAAATAAAAAAGGAAAAAACGGGAAAATTTCAAAATGAAGTTTTTAGTATCGCTAACAAAGAGAAAAAAGTAAAAGAATCGGGTTAGGCAAAAAAAGAAAAAGGGAAAGGTTTTTATTATTATTATTATTATTTTTCTTCCTTTTTTTTCTCCCGGTTTTTTTTTTTTTTTACTTTTTCCAAGATTTTAAATTATTCAAAAACTTGGTTTTGGTATAAAAAATTTTTTTTTTTTTTTACGTTTGTACGAAAAACATAATAAATTACATTTTCTTTTTCTTTTTTTTTTTCTTAAAATGCGAAGAGTAAAAAAGAGAGAAAAAGAGAGAGAGAGAGAGAGAGAGAGAAAGAGAAAAGGTTCAGACAAAGTTTAAAAACATTTTTTTTAAGTAAAAAAAAGAAAATTGTAATTTATCATTTTATCAACCGTTTTTTTTTTTTTTTTACTTTTTATTTACGTGAGAGATGTCTCGACGAAATAACTAAAACGAAATGAAAATTTAAAAAAAAAAAAAACCCTATTTCGCGCCTTTTTTTGAAAAAACAAAAACATTTCGCGCTTTTTTTTAAAAAACAAAAACATTTCGCGCCTTTTTAAAAAAAAAAAAAAAATTAATCGTCGTGCATTAAGTTTTAAAGAAAAGAAAAACCTTTTAAAAATTTCCCCCTCTACTTTTTTCTCCCTCTCTTTTCATTTTTTTCTCTTTTTCCCTCTCCCTCCTCCTCTTCTCAACCCCTTTCCCCTCTCTACCATCGTTTATCCCCTTTTTCCCCCTTTGCCTACTTTTATCCGCGCGAAAAATGTCGCGAAATTTGAGAAAAATTTTAATTTTTTTTTTGTTTTTTTTTTTTTTTTTTGTTTTCGACATTCATAAGTTGGCAACGCACGAAAATAAAAAAACAAACGAATCTCTATGCTCGCGTAATAATAATAATAATAATAATAATAATAATAATAATAATAATAATAATAATAATAACAAACGTATTTTATTCATTTTCATCGTTTAAAACATTATTATTATTTTTTTTTTTTTTAATAAATATAAATTAAATAAAATTAATAATAATAATATCACGATATTAATTAAACTTTTTAATAAAATTTTATTATTAATCGTATAACGTTATATAATAATAATAATAATAATGATAATAATAACAATAAACTCACACAAATAATTCTTTCGTAATTGGTATATATATAAAAATAGAAATTAAGATGGGAGAGGGAGGAGGGGAAAAAAAAAAGAAAAAACAATAGTGAGAAACGTGCTTTATTGTCACGGGGAGAGGGGGAATTGGAAAGGGGGAGGTTTAAAATATCGTATCGAATCGTATCGAAATAATTATTCGATTGTTTTTATTTTTTTTTTATCGAACGTTAAATTACGTAGTTAAAACAAATGAGCCACAGTTTAAAATAATTTTTTTTTTTTTTTTATGGGTAATCACTTAGCGAAATGTTACGTGACTAATAATAATAACAATAATAATGATAATAATAATAATAATGATAATAATGTTTTTAAAATTCATAAATGTCGCGTTTGTTCGGTTTTTTTATTTTTATTTTAAATTATAATTTATTATATTTTATTTTTTGTGCGTGCGTGCGTGCGTGTTATTGACGTGTCAATAGAAAATAAAATTTTTTTTTATTGTTTAACACGCGTGAATTTAACGAACGAAAAAAAAATAATAATTACTTACTTATAATGATGATGATGGATCGGTTTCGTTAAAAACGAATAAATTTTTTTAACAAATAAATATGACGTCATTTAAATATGGCGGCGGGGAAATAAATTCGAATGAATTTTATTTGAAAAAAAAAAATGGAAAATTTGTGTTTCGAAATGTATTTATCAAAAAACATTTTAAAGTTTTACTTTATTCGAGACTTGATAGAATGTTATGAAAAAAAAAAAAAAACTTTTAAGATTTGTTCAACTTTTCACGTGGTAGAATCGAGATCGTTTTGAAAAGATGGCGTCGGTTACGACGACGAAAATGACGATAATGATGATACATTTTATAAATGTTGTTGTATGTATGGTGGAAAAGTTTTAATGAAGGAAAATTTGCGTGAGAAAACTTTGGGAAATGAATAATCGAATGGTGACGGTGGTGACGGTGATGGTGATCTGGAAAGGGGGGGGAGATTCTAAAAGGAATTTTTGATAAATACGCGAAAAACTTGTATAAAAAAAAAAAATAATAATAATAGTAATAATAGTAATAATAATAATAATAATAATAATAATAATAATAATAATAAAACGAAAGTTTTACGATTTGAATTTAATAGCTCGCGTCGGATAAAAAAAAAAAAAAAAAATTTGCTAGCTTTTATTGCTCTTAACTATTTTCCTTTTTTCTTTTTTTTCCTTTGGGGGAAGTAAAAAAAAAAAAAGGAAAAAAAAAAAACTTTTTTTTTTTTTCCTTTTATTTTCAATCGAATCTTTTTTTTTTTTTTTATTTTTAAATTCGTTTCGAGTGTTTAAAATTATTTTTATTACGTTTTTTTTTTTTTTGGAAAAAGGAAAAAAAATTTCTACAATGATGATGATGACGATGACGGTTACAACAATTTCTAAAATTTTGATTCGAAATAAAGTAAAAAAATATTTTTTTTTTTTTTTTTTAACCAATAGAAAAACGCGTCATAGAGTAAAAATAAATTTTTTATTTTTTTTATTTTTATTTTTTTTCAATTTTCCGAACTCGAGAGAAAATAAAAAAAAAAAAATTTTTTCTTACGTCCGCTTACGTTTATTGCCTTCGTTTGTGTTTCAACAAACGACACCGAACACACACAACAAAAAAAAATTATTACTCTTATTATTATTATTATTATTATTATTATTATTATTATTATTATTATCATTTTGTTTTTCCGACATTTATTTTTTAAGTGAAACAGTCACGAAGGACGTTTTCTCGTTTTTTTTTTTTTTTTTTTTTTTTTTAAAAGACCTGTCTTATTTAAGTTGAAAAACGACGACGACGACAACAACAACAACAACAACGACAAACTTTGAGACGTTTCCTACTACTCACGGTTTGTTTTTTTTCTTATTAAATTCCTCCCTCCCTTCCCCTTCCTCCTTCTCGTTTTCTCGCACAGCCTCCATTACCGCCACCACCACCACCGCCACCACCACCACCGCCATCACCACAGACGTTGAAACTCATGTAAGATGAATTTATTTACTCTATGGTTTTTCCCTTTTACTTATTATTTTTCTCATTACCGCCTTTTATTTTATTTTTTTTTTTGGATTTAATAAATAAATTTTTATGGCGTATCGTTTCACAAAATTTTTTTTTTTTTTTTTGTTTTGGTTGTTTCCGGGTTTTAGTTTTGAAAATGTAAAAAAAGAAAGAGAGAAAGAGATGAATAATGAAAAAAGGCTCGTTACCGCAATCGCAAACCAAAAAAAGAGAGAGAGAGAGAGTGAAAGAGAGAAAAACATTTATTCGTTATAAATTTTTCTTTTTTTTTATTTTGTTAGTCTTGTTATCAATTTTATCATTATCACTACCATTAGCATTATTATTATCATCATCATCATTATTATCATTATTATTAATATTATTATTATTATTATTATTATTATTATTATTATTATTATTATTATTATTAAGGGTAATTTTTATTTGCCGCATTAAATTTTTAGATTTCCCTTTTTTTTTCTCATTCTTCTTCTTCTTCCTTCCCCTCCATTTTAAATATTAAAAATTTTTTTTTAATTGTTTATCATTATGGCGAAAATGATGATGATGATGATGATAATAATAATAATAATTTCGGATTATTCTTTTAATTCTTCTCTTATTATTATTATTCATAACTTTCATTTTTTTTTTTTTTCGTTTGAATGAGCCAAATAAAAAAAATTTTTTTTTTTTTTTTGTTTTTATTCTTTCTTTTTTTAATCCGAATAGAAAAAAAAATTATTATTATTATTATTATTATTTTTTTTTTTCCATTCTAAATCTTTTGTTATTTTTTTCTTTGACTTTTTTTTTTTATTATTATTATTTTTATTCCTTATTATTATTATTATTATTATTTTTACTTTTCTTTATTCTTGTTAAATAGACCATCAAATAAGCACTTTACAACCATTTTTTTTTTTTTTTTTTTTTAGAAAAATTTTGTTTTTGTTTATGAAATAATATCGTTATTATTATTATTATTATTAAATGACGTTTTAATGCGACAAAAAAAAATCATTATTATTATTATCATAAATGCACGAGCGCCATTTTTTTTTTTTTTAAACTTTAACGTATATTATAATAAATTAATTATTTCGATGGACGGTTCGAGTTTAAATACGCGTCGGCCATATTTAAAAAAAATTTTTTTTTATGAAAAGGGACGTAAATTTAAATTTAAAAAAAAAAAAAAAAGATAAAAATCACGTCTGAACAAATTTCTAAAACGCAACTGAAATTCCAAAAAAAAAAAATGGGACCCCGCGAAACCTTATCATAACAAAATAATGATAATAAAAATTATTAAAACGAATCATAACAAAAAAAGAGAAAATTTTAATTAAAGGTAATTTAAGTTATGAAAACAACAAAAAAAAATTAATAATTTTTATATATATATTAAAAATGGGACAAAAAATTATGAAAATATTTTTTTAATTAGTTTAATTTTTAAATAAAATCTGTGAAAATTTTTTTTTTTTTTTTTTTTTAGTTTTGTTCAGTTATTACTATTATTATTATTATTATTATTATTATTATTTTTTTTTTTTTTTTTTTTTTTTTTTACTCGTTTCAAAAAAAAATTATATCGTTAATAAATCATAAATGTGAACGATTAAAAAAAAAAAAAAATACGTTGAAGAAGGCGAAAAAAAAAATACGTGGTAGAAGAAAAAAAATACGTTGA